AAGGCTGGTGGTTCAAACCCATCAGCCACTCCTCAGAAGGAAGGTTGGGCAATCCTACTTCTGTAGTGATACTGCCTCAGAAACCCAAGGAGGGGTCCCTATGAGTCGGGGCCGACTAGATGACACATAACAACAACAATGGGATAGTGACAAGCAAATACTAATCAAACTTTTTTTTCCTTTTTCTCTTTTAACTTTATATATCTTACCTACAGATATATAATAATGTAAAAACATATCTTATTATATCAGGTCAAAGTTCTATAGTGCTAAAGTAATTTCATTTATAGCAACACAACTAGATTGTGTGTGTGAGAGAGAGAAAGAGAGCGAGAGAGGGAGAGTTTGATTATTGATAAATAAGTTCACAAAACCAGCATTCAGGATGTCATGTTCACCGGGGCCTGGATATAACTTCTACCATAGGGACAGCAATGTGATGGTTGAAAGTTTGGTTGGAGGCAAGTCTGTGTGTATGCAGATGGAAAGAAGATGAGGGAGTAGATTTTAGAAAGAAGGAAGAAGTGGAAAAAGACAGTGAAAACATGAATGTTTTAAGAAGTGTATTTTGTAATGGAAGTTTTGGGGTGGCACAAATGGTTTGTGCTTGACTGAGGTTGGTGATTGAAGCCTACCCAGCAATGCCACAGAAGAAAGGCCTGACATTCTGCTTCCAGAAGATTACAGCCAAGAACAGGGAGTCACCATGAGTCAGAATTGACTCAGTAGTCATGGGTCTTATATTCTGTGATAGTAAAAGAAAAACAAATCACTATAGAAAAATTAAGGAAAAAGGACACACTGTATGTGCTTGGTTGCCTTTATAATAGCAGGTATAATTCTTATTCAAAAGATTTCCCTTTGAAACATAGTTGCTTTCTGCAACCTTTGTAGATATTTTATACTCAAGTAAATGCACCTAAAGCATCCTGTAAGCTCCTGGTTTAAACCATAAACATCAACCAAGAGAAATTTTTTCACTGACAGCTACACGAATAGCACTTATATTCAACTTGAAGATGAAGATGGATTACTCGAAGTAGATTTCTCAACAAAACAAGATTTCTAAACTTATCCAGGATCACAGAGTCTTTTGATAGAAGTCTTTTGATAGGTGTAATCTGAGTCTCAAGTAGATGATGTGATGGGTTGTTTCAAAAAAGACCTTCACACATAGGGCACTGCCTGTACCTTGTGAATTGTACATCCCTTTGAGCGCTTTAAGCCATGCTGTTTTGCTGCCCTCAGGTTTTTTTTTTTTTTTTAAAAAAAAAAAAAACCTTCTTTGTTGTACACACAGAGAAGCATTTGTGATGCAGTTGTTTTGTGCTTTGATGTGCTTTAGTGTGGAAGTAGCAAGTTCTAGGAAAAACAGCAGTGCTTCACAACGTGCAATAGAAAGGAATGTTGCTAATTAGCAAATAGTCCTCCCTTGCCTGACCCTTTCCTTTTGTTTCTGTCATCTTTTAAAGGTTGGTATTTGGTTCTGAAAGCTGTTCTTACGTGCTGCTTTCTCTCAAGAATGCGTAAGAGAATACTTTTGATTTTTGGAATTCACAGAAGAAAAGTGGGCAAACAGGCTGTGTGGCTGAGACTTTATTTATTTTCTTTAGTTATTCATCTTCTGAGAAAATATGCTAAAATTAGTCACAGGTTTCATAGGTCTGCTGTTACCCAAAGTTGTCCTTCAAGGCTGAGTTGGGATCTCACAGTGTAAAACCAAAAACCAAAAAAAAAAAAAATCGAAACTCACTGCCATCAAGTCAGATCCTACTCATAGCAACCCCTCCTTGGGTTTCCAAGGTGGAATCACTACGGAAGTAGATTTTCCTCATTACCTGGGGACTGACTGGAGATGTCAGTGACACCCTGTGCATTATGTCAACTAAGACCTGTGTAGGTGTTATTAGTGTCCTTTTAGATTCCTGCTTTTTGTTCAGTGATTCTGCCTACAGTGGATATAGAGATAGGTCTATTCTAGAGGGATAGGGCCTTGTCGGGAGGGTAAGCTGTGGAACAACAATAGTGCTGTCTGGGAGCAAATGCTATTACAGAAATTGAGGAGGGAAAGTTTCATTGTTTTCCTTTTCACATATTTTGTAACCTGTTGGCACTGTTCTGGAAGGTTTACTTTATCTCTGTCCTAGTATGTTGCTGAGAGCATGGAAAACATCACCTCTCAGGGACTGCCTGGTATTTGCAAAGCTGGGTGCAATCGAAGCTGTTATCTACTAGGTCAGTACACCTGAAGGAGTTCGGGCTCCTCCTGAGGGAAGCTCCTTGTGCCTTCAGAGGCTTCCCCTCTGGAGTTTCTGTGGTGCAAGAGATGCTGAGGCTCATCTCCAGGTAGTTGGTCTCCTTTTTTTGGGCAAAGCCCTGTTTTGGCAACTCTCTACCCAAGCATTCTTCCAATGTGTCAGCTATTCTTCACATTTGTTTTGAATGCATTAAATCTTTTGCTGAAAGAGCCCAGTGTTGCTAGCTAATTGGCCAGTGCTTCAGTCTGTAGTCCCTGACTGGCTATCTGGGAACAAGAGGTGCATCAGATATTCCACAAGGTCCCCACCACCACCCTAACCCCACCCAAGCCCTTTGTACCTGCACAAAAGTGGCTGACTGCACTGACGTTCTTGCTTGGAGCCTTGTTGCCAGCATCTTAATACGGGGTGTTTGTAACTGTTTTCATCTCAACCTGGGTGTACCTCTTTTTCCTGTTTGAGATGATCTTATTCAATCCAGTGAGTATCAGTGGCACACTTTTTGTGTGTAGCACCTTGTGTGTGTAGAACAATGTGCTGGACATGTCAGGGATACAAAGGAAAGACAGACAGTTCTGCGCCCTTGTGAGGCTTACTGTGGAGTAACAAGTGGGAGCTGAGATTTATTATTCATCAGGCTCGCTTCTCAGTGATTTACTTAATCCTCATACACATATTTCATGTTTTCTCCATTTTGCAGAGGAAACAAGCTCAAAATGACTAAATAGTTTGCCAGACTCAGGATAAAGTCGAGATGCAAATGTTTGTTTCACTCTAAACTCCATATTGGGTCTACCAAAATAGTACTTCCCAAACTGCTCCATGGAGCACAAGTGTTCCAAAAACTCTTAAAAGGTGCTCCATGAAAAAGGCTTCCATGATCAAATAAAAAGGAGCTCTGGTGGAATAGTGCCTAAAGCATTTGACTACTAACCAGAAGGCTGGCAGTTCAAACCCACCAGCCACTCCTCGGAAGGAAGGTTGGGCAATCTACTCCTGTAGTGATACCACCTCGGAAACCCAAGGAGGGGTTGCTATGAGTATGTCTCTTACAGGACTTCCTGGGTGGTACAAATGGTTAAATGTCCTCAGCTGCTAACCCAAAGTTGGAAGTTCAAGTCCACTCACAGGTGCTTCAGAAGAAAGACCTGGAGACCTACTTCTAAAAAATCAGCCATTGAAACCCCTTCAGAGAGCATAGATCTACTCTGACACACATGGTGTTGCCAGGAGTCTAAATCAACTTGATGCCAACTGGATGTCCCTTACGCATTTTGTTAGAACTCCTCTTATTTTTCTACCTTGAATCGTCAGGTACCAGAGGCAGAGGGAAAGTCAAGGGGCTTTGAAGCTACCCATTTTAGAGAAGCCATCCACCCCACATGTGTGGGAAACTGTGGAAGCAGGGGGTGGAGATGGAGGAATGGAAAGGGATTGATTCTTTCTCTGTCCAACATGGTTTAAAGAAATCTGAGAAGTAGATCCTTCAACAGACCTAGTACTCTCTCCCTTTGCCTGCTAGCTAGCTGAGAGGTGAAAGAGTGTGATGGAGTTGTTTGGAATACTTTGGAATTCTGTTTACTTATCTTTCTACTAGATAATTCACCAGCCATATGCTTAGAAAATTTCACATGTTGTTTGTGTGTGTGTAATAGGTTGAAGTGGCAGACGTTTTTCCCTGTTCCTAAGTAGAGCTGTCCTTAGATCTATTTCCTTATTCCTTTTTACTTTTCGGATTTCTTCATTTCATTAAGGATTGACATGGTCATGTACAAAAAGTGCTCAATTTTTATGTCTATTCTACACTGAATAGTGTAGTAGATGTAAGACACGTTTAAAGAATCACTGTTGGATTGTTAAGTAAGAAAAGCTCTAGTCTTCTGCAAGCCTTGGGCTTGAGCAGCTCATGCCCAGTATCCAGTGGGTCTTTACTGGCTCTTTGCTGAATGCCAATGTGTACTTCACTTTCTTCAGCTTTATTATTTGCTCATCTGTCCATTAACTCAAGTGCCTGTCACATGCAGAACTCTGCGCTAGGCACTCTGACATGAAGGAGGAAGGAGAGAATGTGTTGTTCCCTGGAGGAGGTCGTTTCATAGTGTAATGCAGACAGTATGTCCAGTGTCAGGTTTTAGGATGCTGTCATTACAACAGAAATGTTTTAGTAATTAACAAGGTTGAGAAGCAAACTGTGCCCTTGTGTGTTTCCTTTCCTGTGTGTTCCTAATGAAGTTTCTCACACCTTTGTTATAAAACCAAACCAAACTCACTGCTGTGGAGTTGGATCCAACTCATAGCAACCCTTCCTTGGGTTTCTGAGGCAGTATCACTATGGACGTAGATTGCCCCATCTTCCTTCCAAGGAGTGGCTGGTGGGTTTGAACCGCCAGCCTTCTGGTTAGCAGTCAAATGCCTTAGGCACTACACCACCAGAGCTCCCTTGTTATAAAAGGACTAACATTACCTGCTCTGTTGTTTCTCATATACTTGAACAAGCATTTTGAACACCTTGATGACTGCTTTATTCCATCTCATCTTGCCCACTAGTTGTCTTATGTAATAGGATTACCCGGGGGTAGGAGCAACTGTTAAGTTTCTCTACTTGACTCTTTAAGAAATAATTGTATATGTCTTATGTATTGTCTTTCTTTTCAGAGATACATGGAGAATAGCAGCATAATTGCTTGCTATAATGAACTGATTCAAATAGAACATGGGGAAGTTCGCTCACAGTTCAAATTACGGTATGTAGAAATTTGTTACCACAAGGTTAACAGTTCTTTCGAAAAGCTTGCCTGTTGTCAGCCTGGTGTTCACAGTTCTAGCTGAATACCAGGAATTGTGAAGTCATTAAACAGCTAATGGCAGGCTAATATAGTGGGAGTGCTTGATAGTATTAAATAAATTGGAAGCATTTCTTCTTTTGATGATATTTCCCGCTATTTGCAGCAGTTTTAAAATCATATCTTAAGAAGAGTACTGTTTAATTTTTGCACAATTAGATCCAGATTAAGATCTAGCCTTTAAGGATTACTTTTTTACTTATTACTTTCAATATTTATAAACTCCTACTTGATTATTGCAAATAGGGACAAACCAATGGGTAGATATATTATGCTAACCATAATAATTATGATGTTACCACAGTAGCAATTTTACAAAGTGTGTTCATGACTTGAATATGCATGAAGTGTCTTCAAGAGGCTGATTATGTGTCTCTACAAATAAATGGTCCTTTTAAAGCAGGCTTCCCTCAGGTGCTCACTTCTGGGATGAGATTCTCTTAGTGTCTGGTGCAGCTCAGTTCTGGGCTGTGGGTGCTCTGTTTCTGGAACACGTTGGAATATCAGGGTCCTTGCTCATGCCTGGCTTTGCTCAGGCTCCCCTATACCCCCACTCCAGCACGTTCCTAGAACCCTCATTTCTTTAATCTGCTCTTCTCCAGCTGGAGATCAGGGTAAAGGGAGGGCTAGGCTGCTTGCAGGTTGTAGGATGTCAAGAAGGTGCCCTTACAGCTGCTTCCCCAAGAGTCCATGAGTGTTTCTGACTCAATACAGAATAAGCTGATAGCGTAATGAATGTAACTCTTATCTTGACTAATTATTTTGCACTCACAGAAAATAAAAACCTTTTAAAACTTTAGTCTTCTTTCCACCATCTTCTGTCCTTTGGGAGCAGTAGATTAGCATGAATCTACAGAGGCAGGCTCTCCTGGGAGTCAACCTAGACAAGGAGGTCACTTTTGGTAGGTAGAGAGCTTTATGGAAAAAAAAAGCATGAGGATAAACACACACTTTCTTAGGTGGATGAGCCATAAAAAGGAACCTCAAAACTGGGAATTCAAGTATTTTGAGTGTTGGGTGAGGAATATTGCCAAAGATGTTGTGAATGTATAAGTCAGTTATACTTCCTTGGTTTCTTTTTATCTGGATATTTACTATCTTCAGAGAATTTCATAGACTTTTTCTAGAAAACCATGTTGCCTTTACTTCAGTAATTTATGCTCTTTAATCATGTACATTAATTGTTTTTATTCTTTGATGTCTCAACTGTTTTTAGTTGAGGGTCAAAAGATTTAGCACTTTTATTTGATATATTTTCACAATAAATAGAAAAAGAAGGATTTCATTTTGGTTCAATTCTTTAGTTGTGTGTTATCTACAGTAAAAATTAATAAAATGTACCTTATTACTTTGATAGGCAGTTGTCTCATTTTATCTTAAATAAGTCCTTCTCTTTTCTTAGGCAGCATTAAATGTGACAACATGTTTTAGATTCCATGAAGTGGCCTAAACAGATTCTTCAGTACCCACCAGGCTTTGATGGGCTACCCTAAGGCTTTCTTAGGAACATTCAAAACCATAAAAAAAGAAAAATCAAACTCACTGCCGTCAAGTTGATTCTGACTCATAGTGACCCCCATTGGATTTCCAAGGCTATAAACCTTTACAGAAGCAGACTGCCCCATCTTTCTTCCACAAAGCAGCTGGTGAGTTTGAACCAACAACCTCTTGGTTAACAGCCAAATGCCTTAACCACTACACAAACAGAGCTCTTCTCATGGATGTTCGTGGCACCTTATCCATGATGAAGGAACTCTGGTAGTGTAGTGGTTAAGGCATTCAGCTGCTAACCAGAAGGTTGGCAGTTAGAACCCACCAGCTCCATGGGAGAAAGATGAAGCAGGTTGGTTCTTTAAAGAACACAGCCTTGGAAACCCTATGGGATAGTTCTACTCTGTCCTGTAAGGTCACTGTAAGTTGGAACAAACTTGATGGCAGTGGGTTTGGCTTTGGGTGGTTTTATCCATGATGAGCAGAGAGAAAGGCAGGTCTGGCGATTTTAAATAAATATACCCCTCACGAGGATTTAGAGAAAGAGTTTTAGATTATTGCTCTGATGAAATCTGCTTAGAACCAGGGGGCTGAAAATTGTCAAGATCTCATCAGGTTGAGAACTTTGCAGATTTCTGAATACCTAACATTATAAAAATGCTATAACTTCAAGTCTTTGAGTGGTGCCAACAGTTAAGGTGCTTGACTATTAATTGAGAGGTTGGAGGTTCAGATCTATCTAGAGGTGCTTTGGAAGAAAGACCTGGTGATGCACTTGTGAAGCACTTACTGAAAACCCCATGGAGTGGTTCTGCTCTGACACACGTGGGCTCACCACGAGCTGGAATTGACTCAACGATAACTGATTATAACCTCACCCTCCACTCACTGGACCTCATTGAGGGAGCTGGACTCATTACAGAGGTCATAATAAAAAGGCTCAAGTTCTTAATACAAACTGATGTGAAGTTGGTGAATGGACTTGACCCAGGAAGGCAGTAGCCCCAGACAGGAAAGGTGCCTGGTGTCTGGTCACCTTACCTTCTACACCAGCTTAAGCTTGCTGGTAAAGAGCCTCCCTTCCCAACACAAGAATCCAGTATAAGAGCAGTCACTGCAGCAGGGAAAAGGAAAACACAAGTTCTCCACAGAAGTCCTGTGGTTGGTTTCCTCTGTTGCTTTTTGGCTGGTTCTGCCTGAATCTTATCCAAGTTATCTCTTTCTTTTTGTGGGGTGATGGAGTGCATGTCCTGGATCTCCCCAGGTATACTATACTGGGGCCCAGCAGAAGAGGGACCAGTCACCCATACCCTGACCTCCCCTAGCTTTCTAAGGCATTCAAGGACACCTTGAGCACCTACCTGCACCCCAGAAGCAGGCAAGCAATGCTGTCATTTGTTGCAGACTAGGAAAATGAGGCTCTTTATTATACAATACCAGAATAATTATAGTCTAATTATGTAATACTTTTTTCCCTACAGTTCCACCCCCAGCTACAGCTAAATATGTAACAGCACTAGCACTCTGCAAGGACAATCTGTACTGCAGGAAGATGTTGAATGTTGAAGGTGGACACTTTTGTCCAGGTCTTCATGTATGGTGGCCAAATTTACTTAACAAACAAAAAGATCATGTGATCAAAAGATGTTATCTACTTTTAAAATGCAATTCTGTAGACTAATTTTTAAATATATGAGAATTACATTGCTTTTCTGTGTGCATCAAATGAATTATTTTATTGAACGGAAGAATTCATGAAATGAGAAGTGTCTAGGGTACTCTAGGCTAAATAGTGACCATTTATGTCTTCTAATGTCCTTATGCCTATTTATCATGAAAACTATATTATCCAGAAATATATGTGGATTTAGCTACATGTATTGAGAGTTTAAGATGATCAGGTTATACGAATGCAGGGCCAGCAGTTGTTTCAGTCATCTGTCAACTTAATATCCATCATCTAGGAGTTGTCCTCAAATCATCATGTTTATTTTACTCCTGGTAGCATAGTGCCTAAGGCACTTGACTGCTAACCAGAAGGCTGGTGGTTCAAACCCACAGCCACTCCTCAGAAGGAAGGTTGGGCAATCTACTTCCGTAGTGATACCTCCTCGGAAACCCAAGGAGGGGTCATTATGAGTCAGGTCCGACTCGATGGCACATAACAACAATCTTAAGATAGTAACAGTCCTCAATTTTAGATAGTAAAGGCTTCTGATAGGAACAACTCTGTGTTCCATGGAGCACTTTATTCTCAGGTGGGCTCTATATGACTGCCCTGTGTTATGGGACTAGAAACTGAACCACGAAAGCTTAGAATAGCTGGCTCCCTGTTGTGCTGCTGCCCAGGGACAAGTGCAGATGAGTAGCAAGTCCATGCCTTGTCCACTCTGCTCTCCCTTCTTACTCCCAGACTGCTGCTGGGTTGTGCCTTCTGTTAAGAATCTTCTCCCTACAAGCTGCCACCTTATCCAGTCCTACCCTTGTTCCAGATAGCTTCTGTGTATGTGTATGTTGTTTTGATAGGTCCTGGAATACTTTTGGGAGGGACATGGCAGATTACATAACCCAACTGCCCTAGCTACAATTGACAGAAGAAAACACTGAGAGCCAGAGAGGCTCTTGACAAGCTCACAGCTAGTAGAATCTAGAAATCCTGCTTCCAAGTCTGGTGCCATGGTATTTGTAGACTTTATGCCTGGACCTCCTTTAATATTTACCTTACCCCTCTGGGCCTTCAAGGGCTCTTAGAAAGTAAAGGGGAGATGGTCAGAGTGCCCATACTTCCTAAGTTTCTGCACCTAGGTTACCTTTCCCTTATGCTTCTTTTTTCCAATTGTTCAACTCCTGAATGTGGGGGACACAAAAATAAAGACACTTGAGACACAAGAGTTATAAGAAGAAAAAGTTAATAAATCTAAGGTTCTCCTGTATGAGTATTAATAATTAATATAAGCAATTAAGTTCCCAAACTCTAGGAACATAACTCAAATTGATTACCTCATTTTGCTGCAGGTTTATTTGAATAGAACCATCGACCAAAAATGGTTTAAAGACCAGAAAAACATTGTGGGCCAGTTGTGTTTGCCACTGGGGGGAAATAAATTGCTGGTCCTACCAATATTCTTTCATCTCAACTGTTAAGAAGAATTTGCTTAGTCTCACTGGAAATTGTATTTATTGAAAGATTTTATGCTTTACCAATAATCACAGAATAAATGTTTAATAGATAAATTTTATAAGATGGATGTAAGATCTTGTCTTACCAAAACAAAACTTACTTCCATGGAGTCGGATCCAACTCATAGCAACCCCTCCTTTGGTTTCTGAGGTATTATCACTACGGAAGTAGATTGCTCAGCCTTCGTTGCGAGAAGTGGCTGGTGGGTTTGAACTGCCAGCTTTCTGGTTAGCAGTCAAATGCCTTAGGCACTATGCCACCAGAGCTCCTAAGATCTTCTCTTAAGCAGCTGTTAAATTGTCCACTCTCCTCTCCCTTCAATAATACTCTGAGGTACCTGTTTACACACTTAGTTGAAACATATAGTTTCTTTGAGGAAACACCTGGGTAGAGAGAACATTATTTGATAAAATGTGCTAATATGGCTTAATTATCCAGCTCTCAAAGTTAACGAATTGGCCCATATAGAATATGTTTCTCTACATAAACTTTAAATGTCTCTCCAGAAACAAGTCTAAATTCTGGAGTACATGAACACTTTCTGGCAGTGCTGAGTTGGGCTCTGGGCCCAAATGCCTAGAAAATACTATTGATAAGACTTGTTCTTGCTTGCCTCATCCCTCATCATGAGAGGCAGTGCCATAACCACTTTGGTAGCAGTTTTAAAGTCTTCTTTTATTCTTTTTTTTCCTTATTTTAAAAAATTGAATTTGCAAATGTAGCACCGATAATGGGACAGTACACATTTCAAATTAGATAGACTGGAATAATTTAAATAAGAATATAGATGACAAGCATCAGGAATTACAGTCTAGTTTGGTTTATGTTTTCCTCTGCTCTGCTTACCCATATCATGATTAATTATTTTACTTACCCTCACATCCTGATATATTCATCTCTGCAAACATGGGAATGCTATCCTTCAGTAGACTACAATCCTTCATTTTTCATGAAGATAATTGTTAGTGGTCGTTGATTCAGCTCCTGTGTACAACAGAAGGAAGCATTGCCTGGTCCTGTGTCTTCCTCACAATCAACAGCATATTTGAGTCTATTGGTGTGCCTACTGTGGGTTACCCACACCCTTGTTGACCCTTTGTTTCACCAAACATGATGTCCTTCTCCAGTGATTGATCCCTCTGATGGTATGTCCATAACAAGCAAGTTGGACAATGCATGAGGGTTACTTTGCTACTATTAAATATGGTTCTGGGTTTGACATTTCAGCTATACACATGAGAAAAGATTGGTTATGATTTATTTTTCTTTTGAACAAAGGCCTTTGAAAGCCTTAGAGAACAAAGAAATATTACTCTGTGATCTTAAAAATAACAGTAGCTACCATGTGTTGAATTCTTATATTGTCCCAAGCAATCATTTTGAGAAATGCCTTACAGGAACTGTTCTGATCCTTGTAACAACCTGCAAAATACACATTTTCATCCTTAGTTTACAGATGAGGAAACTGAGGACCAGAGAGAATGAAAACTTGCCCCAGGTCCTATAATTGACAAAATACACAGCCATATTTCACCCAGTTCTTTTTGCCCTCTCCTTTGCAGACATGAAGATTCTGTTGAATTGCAATTCTTCTCTTAATATCATATATGTTGTTGTTTATTCATTTAGTTTGAAAGAGAAGAGTTTTGTTTTGTTTTCCTCAAAATGTACTAATGTCAAAAGAATTGATGGCTTTATGAATCTGGAGAACTGTTTGACAAATTAATAGATGAAATGCCCAATAGTTTTATAGCAAAACTAACAGCAGTCTTCTTCAACCTGCAGGGCCTGTAATTCAGTGTTTACAGCATTAGACCACTGTCATGAAGCCATAGAAATAACAAGTGATGACCATGTGATCCAGGTAAGGAAAAATATTATATCTGTCAATGTCAACATCTGAAGTATGAGCCACCCTATTTCAAATACTTTACCATAATTCTCACTACCCAGCACATTTGTTTGGGAGAAAGGAAAATCAAAGTGCACAAAGAAGACTCTGATAGACGTAAGCTAAGGACTGGGTATTTGATAAAGAATAAAGAACTTATTAATTCAGATCAGAACCTGTGATTTCATTGAAAGAGATGTGCTAAATTATTTGAACCATCTGTGAGAATAACATTTATACAGAAATACATTAGAACTGTAGAGTAAATACTATAAATGCCAATGGGAAGAGAATATTTTTAAAAATACTCATCTAGTTACCTGCAGTTGGTATTCTAACTATAATGCACTCTTACATACTAAAGGAGCTCTGGTGGTGTAGTGGTTAAGGCATATGGCTGCTAACCAAAAGGTTGGTGGTTCAAACTCACCAGCTGCTCCGTAGAATAAAGATGAGGCAGTCTGCTTCTATAAAGATTTACAGCCTTGGAAACCCAATGAGGGTTGGTTTGAGTCAGAATTGACTTGATGGCAATGAGTTTTTTTCTTATATACTAGTCA